GAACTGGTGACCTGTCAGCAAGACCATTCAGGGCCAATTTGGCGATTCTACTAGACAAACTTACTGCTGAAGCCGTAACCATCGGTAGCCCCTTCTCTGTTCTGTGGGTCAATCTCGACTCGGATCGTAATGTCCAATCCTCCGGGCATGCTGCCGCTACTAGTATACCCGTCTGCCGCGGGATGACTAGAGCCTGCGTCAGCTTCACCCTGGTGAAGAGGCGAGTGACCATCTTTGGCCAAAGGAAACGAAGAGGCCTGCTCGTTCGGAGCCACTGAAGTGTTTCCATTAGTGTAGAGGGGTTCGATCTCAGTGATGCAGGCGAAGTTCCGCGAAGGCATCGTGACCTTATTCCACGCGGCGCTCTTCTCCTGCCCACCAGGCTGTCGATCAAATATGTCCATCAATGTCTCATCCGTGTGGGGATCCAGATGATGAAGCTTGTTTCTACGTGCCAAGAGATTGGCCACGGCCTTGGGAGGAGGTTTGTTCGTAATCGCACTGCTAACAACATTGATCATATACCGTGGATCGAGTTCGCTGTGAAGGTTGAGGGCTGGGTTGGAGTAAAACCGGCCGATGGCTGCCAGATGCACATCTCCGCCCAGAATTGTCACACGAATGGAATGAGCCTTAGCAAAGTCCTGTAGACGTTGAATGAAAATCCTTCGCTCCTTCTTGTGTTGACGCGCAGTGTAGTGATCATCCAAGTCATCCAAAAGGTCAACTTGGCCGTCAAACTGATTAAACAAACCACCTGCAAAGCCAAACCGCTTATTCAACAAGCGAATTGGCGCAATCAGAGGAGAGCTCAGGATATTTTCCAACCAAGCGAGTCGGGGGTATGCGATTGGAACTCCCAGTAGCACAATCAAGTGTTTTATGTCCCCCTCGGCCGCTAAGACTTCAGCTTCAAGGCGGGAGAAAATGAGATCATATGTGTCTGGGTAGTTCACCTGGTGCCGCGTGCGCTCCGTCCGCGCATCGACGCCAATGAACGCAAACCGCTTGCCGAGACGCATGTAGAGGTTTCGACTCTTCTCTTCGACGTAGGGACCGGGGCGATTACCAACTATCCAACTATCGTCTTCCGACTGGCCCTCTAGCACGTAGGTGTTCTCCAGCTGTCTAGGATCGGCACCAGCAGTCCCGTTAACAGCATGCATTGTTTGCGGAGCGTCTGTGGTGTACGTCGATTTGGGCGGCGCGATGTGATGCTGGAACAAGCAGTAATACTTGAACGCCACGCCGCCAATCCCACGAAACACGGAGCAGCGCATGAAATGATCTGTGTACGAACCGAAGCCGTCAATAATGTCATGGTCATCCCAAATGTTGATCTGTGGGATCCGGCCATTTGCTGCTTTGAATGGCTCGATGGAATACCATCGGACATAGTTTGCATAGTAGTATTCATCGCACCGGGCTCGCAAGTCGTTGTCAAAGGGATGCGCCCGTCTCTTGTGAGGGTTTCCAATGGCCGTCCACGCCTTCAGGGGTCCATCAACGCGGATTCCATCGCAGTACAACTGGTCACCACCACCAATCATGGCATGGAAGGGCTTCTGGCCATGCACTCGCATGACGTCGTTCCACAAATTGGGCCCAACCCAAGCGTTCATATCGGTGCCGACGGAAAAGCCATTGCAAGAATGGAACATCAGACGCATCGACTGGTGGACCGATGGCACTACAAAGTCCCAAGGCGGAGGAAGCTCTTCGCCATTTGCGTACTGGAACCCCGGAATGGTGTATTCCCAGCGTGCTTCGTACTCTTCTAAGGCAATGGCGATTGAAAATCTCCAGAATGCTTTCTCGGGATCTTCATATAGACGAAGTCCATCAGCCACAAAACGTTGGGAGTTGGGTTGAGTACGAGAAGCTCGGCCGCTGCTATCAATCGGGCCTGCTTGGCGCATGACCAGCTGAGGCTGGCTCTGCCCAGACTTAGTCACAATCAGAATACTTCCTCGCCATACGGAGGAGGAAGCAGTGACATCCATATTCTTGAAGTTGATTAGGGGGCCGCAGATGGCGTCCACGGACGTGCTGGAAGCCGTAGAGTGGCCATTGACAGCAGGAGCTGCACTATTAGCTAGTACAACCGCATTAGTGTTGAAGCGCGTGTCAGGCAGTGTCGAAGTTGGGGAACTAACTTTGGAAGGCCATCGTGAGGTCACGGGCCGGACGGGGGTAATACCAAAGATACCGGAGTTCAAGAGTTTGGCGCCAAGCAGCAAGGGGATAAGTTTCGAAAATAGGTAATATATATTAAAAAAAGAACAAGTGGAATAAATCAGTGTATCATATGGTGATTACAGACTAGAGGCAGGTTGCGACGGGTTGTGCAGACGAGGTAACTATCGATAACCTGGCAGGATAGTTCTCAGGTAGGGAAGGAGATAAAAGAGTGTGATAGAAGAGGTTGACCCGAAAAGAGGGATTAGGCGATTAATAACAACTGCGCGCAGGACAGGGAGACCAGGATTCCGGTGTAAATCGGATCCCCTGGAAGATGTCAAGGGGGGAGGTGGGATACGGGGCGGGGGAGGTGATAGAAAGAACGAAGATTGGATCCCAAATAAGGCCAGTAGTATCGCGTCCCGGCAGGTCAGGAAGATGATTAGTATGGAGGAGAGCAAGGATCAAAAGGAGCGGCGACAGGTAGCATTTAGGTACCAGTCATTCAATTTGTTTTGAGAATCTGAGTACTGAGCAGCACAGCAGAATCAGTAGGGCTGCAGGGCTGAGAAACTCAAGAAGGGGGAAGGAAAAGAGAGAGAGAGAGAGAGAGAGAGAGAGAGAGAGAGAGAGACAGAAAGTAAGAGGGACAACAGCGAGACCATCATTCATTCACTCTTGACTTTCCCTATGGAAGGCCAAGAGACCAAGACGGAGAGGGCCCCCATCCTTGCACGGGTCATTATCATTTTTTTTCATGTTCCTGGTTATTGGCTTGTCGGTTCTGGTGACTAGCTGCATCTTGGCAGCATCAGCAGCATCAGCATCAGCGGCAGCATCATCGGCCTCATGGTCATTCCAGCACAACCACGGTACTGACCGAAAATCATTTCCAACATTGAGTTTGTTTGTGTCTTCAATTCGTATTGTTCGTACCAGTGATCGGTGATCGATGATCAGTGATCAGTGATCAGTTGTAACCGAGGGTGGGTTTCCGTCTGGGTACCGATCTGATCGAGTCTCCGAGAGAATGGAAATGGAATGGAATGCAGCGTTGTACTCCGTACCTACGGAGTATACTGAGCCTGATTGGGTCAGGAATGATGACGCCGAGACTGACTACTTACTCATCAGCCCCACGTCTCAGCCACATTCGGTTCCAGTCTGTGGCTAGTGTGGATCGCAATCTCCCCCCTACTTGCATGTACAGTCTGTAACTTATACTCCGAGGTCCTCGTTATGCGGTGGCCTAATCTGCTGACTGCTGCCCTAATCAGTTCGTGCCTATCATTTCAATCAGGCCTTGAGGGAAAAAAGACAATCTATCGACTCGTCCTGTATGCGGACTGAGGATTGCTCATACCCAGCTTGTCCACTCAAACTGAGAGTATGAGAGGCATTAGTGCATGTACTTCTCCATAGGTTCTCAGATTCTCATAAGTTTACTCACCAGAAGTAATAAGTTATACTGTACTTACTATGTACATGTACATAGGTACCCCAGGTTCGAATTCATCATAGAAAGGCTGCTTTCCTAAATAGGTAATCACCACCCTTCCGCTCCGCCCTCGGCCGTCCAACTAACCACCGGGCACCGGGAACCACATCTCCTCCCCTCTACCTACTACCATCGACTTCATAATCCGAAACCAATGCCTCTTGCAAGAATGCTACGTGCACAAATGCCCCATCATCACCAATCCTACAATCAGCACAATCCTGCTCTGAACCTATGTATGACATTGTCTACCCTAGACCATCTGATGGAACAAGATCTACCCTCCAGAAAAAGTAGGCATTACACGAGCATTGGACATCATCAGAGTCATATCATCACATCAATTATATCTCATCAGTGATTGGGGAACTTTCCATTCATCTCCTAGTCATCTAAGCAACTTGTCTTTTTTTTTTCTGTCTTTTCGTCTAGTGCATCCAGATTTTTCTCTCCACTCTCTTTCCATTCATTCTCCATTCACTCGCTCGGCCCAGCACCAGCCTCGTCTTCTACCTAAAACTGAAAGCAAAGCTCAATTCCCCAGGGCCATGAAACCAAAGGACTCGGACTGTTCCAGTTGTTGGGCGATTCAAAGACTCTAGGCCAAGGCACCAGCTTCCTTCCCCAAGGGTCATAGAACATCAACCGATCGCCGGCGATCTGAACGGGTGGGATGGCCGACGGGGGTTTGCGTCCGTGGCAAGAACGGCGGGTAAAACTTTGTCGGAACATGCTGCTCTTTTGCCCAGGGCCTGCCTAGGGCTCAAGCGGATCATGAGTGGTTGGTAACGGGGGGTCGGGGTATCAAATATGTAAGGACAATAACTTATTGCATCTCCCATGCTAACCTTTTGCAATCAAGGAACAATTAGAGAACATTTCTTGATGTCGAGTGGGATTTCGCAAAAGAAACTGAAAGAACCGAAGCAATCAGAAGACGTGGAAAAGAAGCGAAAAAATACAGCGAAAAAAAAAAAGGAATAAGACAAGACGGAAACTCCGAGCCAAGGGAACATATCAAACTCTGACAAAAATGGTGAGGGGTCATCAAGGAATACCAGAAGACCAGATGGATCCAGGGCCCTAGAAGATATTGTTGAAAAAGGCAAAGCGATAGCCACCAGTCATCTAGCGGGATACAGAGGTATTTCCAGGTCCTTGGTGTTCTCTAGTCTCGCTAATCAATGACTGGGCTGGGTAGAAGATGACGAGCGCTCGAGGCGTCGGCGTGGGACGAATCGACAACCAATTTCCAGAAGTCGCCGTTGAGCGGAGAATCCGGCAACTGGGCCAGATGTTCCTCTGGCTGCTGTTGCATGGACACTCCCATTCTCATCAAAAGCTCGCAAAAGTGGCTGCGGTTTGTGGGGCTATCCAGTTCAGGGTAGTCCAATGTGAGATATGCGAGACGACGGGCAAGCCACTCTATCGAGACGTTGTGATAATTATCATCCTCGGCTTCGTTCGACACGAGATTGTCCAGGCACTGGCTAGCGGCGCAGTCCAGCAGGTGGTGCGCCTGCTCCCGTCCGATCATGGCTGTAAGCTCCTCAAGCGCCTCATTCTCGGGTTTAGGGTTGTTGTCACCCGCTGCGGCGTTAAACAATTTGTTGAAACGTACATCGGCGGAGTTCTCGGCTCTGTGAGTCTCGACATACTGTTCTCGAAGCTCGGATGATTTCCTCAAGCTAGGGGCGGGCCAGTCGATTCCATTCTCTGCGTACATGGAATCACAATAGGTGTACAGGTCGTTGGTCCACGCATTGAGTTCCAAGTTGCGTGCCAGATCATCTGGAACCCATCCGTCGCGGATATAGAACCACGCTCTAGCCGAAGCGCGCTGCAGCATCAAGCGACATTGCTGCTCGTAGTAGGCGGCTTGCTCCTTGAGGTTACCGATTCGTAAGTAAGCAGGACCAAACAGCGGGTCGGCAGCATCCCGGATCCATTGGCAAAAGAGGATGGTCATGACGAGTTCCATTCCGGGGTCGTCAAACCTTCGAGATGGGCGGTGGTGACCATGCTGGTAACCAGCGCTCAAGATGCCTTCGCCTGGGAAGAAAGATTTCTGAACGAAGCAATCATGAAGAAGGCCAAGCAATTCATAGATTGTCACCTCGTACATGTTGCACCCATCCTGCCACACAAAGTCGAGGTCCTCGATGTGGGGAATCCACTCGAAATAACGAGCATACAACATCTTGTTCACATGACTGTACCCCAGGATATAGCCTGCATGGCATTCCGAGGCGTCCCGGTTAATGATGGGCAGAATGTTGAATACCAGCTGAGGATCATCGCCGACATTGAAAGGAGCCAGCACCTCGTGATCGAAGAGTTCTTCATAGGAACGTATGGTACACTCGGTCCCATCGAAAATGTACATACTGTTCTTACGGACGTGCTCGTCTCGGTCACGCTCGTTGCTGAGGAGATAGAGGTGGTAGTCAAGGATGTTCCAACCGGGGCGAAGCACGAGGCCGGGAACAGGTCTCTCTTCCAGATCGGACGCGACAGACTCTTCAGACCCCTCAGACTCAGTATCAAGGCGTTCAATGAGTTCTTCTGTCTCTGGGACGTTTGAGAAGCTTTCTTCTGACAGGTTCACCAGGGTCACTTTGAAGCTTTCGCCATCGGGGCTCAGGGGCGTTTTCGGTGAGTCCTCAGGGGGAGTGTCTTCTTCAGACCATGACTTCCTTCTAGCCATCTGCCAATGCTTCATAGTGAAGATTGGCGACCTGTCCTCTCCCAGTCGAGAGGTCACCGGAATATCAGCCATCGACTGCTATCGCGGCTGGTCAGCACTGACCTGTATGATAGAATGGAAACACAGGAAACAAACGCCAATGGCGTGGCCCGACAAGAACAACACTTACGAGTTTCACTGTTGTGAGATGCTTCAAAGGCCTCGATGAGCTGACGGGAAGAGAAGAGAGACAAGGGACGCTTGTGAAGCACACTGAATACAAGAGCCTTGGTGGACCGCGCCGAGGACAAGGGGGATGAGGCTTGGAGGCGTGTTGAGGATGGAGAGGTAAAGGAGGGGGAAGAAGAGAGAGAAGTTAAGAGTAGTCACGAAGTGAGAATCTCTCACTCTCTCACACTGCATCAGGAGAAGTGAGAGGATGTGGATCTTCTCTAAGATGCCTGGAAAGATTCACTCACATCTCTACGAGAGATGCGAGTACCAACAAAGATATCAAGAAGGACATGAAAGTTCAGTTTCAAGCTAATCATCAACTACAAGGTAAAGGGTCATCTACGATAGTCAGTTTGTGAGGATATTCATTCAGCCTGCTATCTAATCTCTGTATAGAGTGATCGAAAGGCGATAGACCCGAGTGTAGTTCTCCGGTTCAGCGATCCTACGCTGCAATTTCTCCAACCGTGTTTTCAGAACAAGATCCATGCGGCAGAGGGAGGCCGCATGGCCAACCGCAAGATGAAAGAAACACAGGGACGACATCATGGTTATTTGGGGAACTCGAGCACAGGAGGGTAGTGAATGCTAGTAGTGTTGCAGTTGGCTCAGCTGTGATCTCCGCTGTTACATAGCAACAGTAGAAACAGCTCAGAAAGTGCCCCTACACCACTAGTTTCCATTTCCTTTCTCTCTTTAAAGCCACCCCAAGGGATACATTAGTCTATGAGACAAATGTAGCTGTTTTTGCCCATATAATAGCCATCCCTCTCCCTGTGTTCCTATATACTACCAATGAGACCCCTCTCACTATGGTGGAAGACAGTGTCCGTCACATATGGCTATGCCTGTCAACCTGATAAGGACCTGGGATAGAGAAGTCTCCGGGTTCTCTCATGTGCCTTCTATCCAACCTCAACCTCCATCTACTCACCTGGCCAGGGAGAAGTTGGTCGGTCCTAGTCAGGAAGTTCCAGTTCTCACTGGCGAGGATGTGGTTGCGTGGCCCATAGATCTCGTCGTGTGTCTGTCCGGTGCGAGCTCATTGTATCGGAAGGTGAGGTTTTACGTCTTGCTTGTCCTTGTCGTCGCAACGCCCGACATCGCCTCACCTCCATCTTGCAAAAGTAGCGTGGTCGGTAGACTGTTCGCTTAGCACGGAGCTTCCGGATTTGCTCCCATAGGGTGAGTGATGAGGAAGAGGGTAGTTGAGGACGGGAACAAGCGATGAAGGTCAGTACAGCTGTACTATTGACCATGCCATCGACAGTGACAGCGCTTTTGCTCACTACGACTGAACAGCTCTAACGGATCGCCGCCTAGAATAGGCATACATAGACGTTCCGATGCAGCAGCACACTGGCATTCAGAGATGCCCGCGAAAATGCCCCGGTGCAATATTTGCTAACATTTTCGTCACGCCGACAGGTTCGTCGAGGCCCTGGGCTTTGATTTGTCTTCGATACTCCACACATCTATCAGAGCTCGATCTTACGCGCCGGTCCAGATTACATAACTCTTCACGATATGTGTATCCTGGATGATTCTCATTCTCCGTGGCTCGAAACTAATTCCCCACGTCACGCTAAGGTATTTCCATCAGATAAACCCATCCGAATCGTGATGCACTTCTGTTGATCTAAGCTAAGATGATAACAACTGCGTGGCCAGACGATGCGACAAGACAGGAAAGACAATATGCAAAGGTAATAGTGGGAATAATAAACATTCACACCGCATGCTAAATGCTCAACGCCAACTGTGTTGTGTATGTTGTGTGCGTATGTGGTATCATCTACGCGTCCTGGTTGGCAAAACAATGCGCAAGACACCGGGATATGGAGCGGCCAGCCAAAGACAATTCCATGGCCGTGCTACAGTGGGAAGTAGCGAATTCTAACGCCAGGTCAGAAGACGAACAAATTGCGAGGCTAGTCAAAATACGTGAGGGGGGAGGGGCCTCCTCTAGCTCAGCTAGAGGCCTGCTGTTGTTGGCCCCAGTGACCCCCGGAAAGGGCCTCCGGCGGGATCCTTTGCTGCTTGATGAACAGGTCGATCAATGGCTGCATAGGCTCCATTTCCTTGTCGGATACCAGCTTGTAGTATTTAGCCACGGTGACGAAGTGGACGAAGCACATGTTCAGGATGTCGTGCTTGTTGATGTGCCAGAAAGGGTTCAACCAGTGCGCATGGTAGAGATGAGCATAGCAGCGGAACATCTGCTTCATAATGCCCTGGCAATCCTTGTAAAACGTCTGCGGGAAGCCGCTGGACTTGCCGATCCATTCCTCTCCAGCAGTAGCACTAGCGCTTCCAACTTCGTTGATCGCAAATGTCTCCGGCATGCCCGCGAATTTCTCCGTGGGGAACATGACGGGGTCATGGATCTTGCTGACGATCCATTTCTCCACGCGGTTGATGAACTTGGGAGCCGAGATCTTAGCTGCACGGCCATCGACAAGCCATGTATATGTCAATCTATTAGAACGAGATGACAGTCAGATAAGACCTGGGTGATATTGTCACGAATCGCGTTCTACTTACCGACCAGCGGACATGGTGGGGCAAGTGTTCTCATTGCAGATCGGGAGTCCCGTGAGGCTGTTGACCTCCTGAATGACCTGGAGCATACCGTGGAGCAGGCGATATTGTTCAACAACTATTTGATTATACCATCAGCATCATACCCTGCAAGAAAAAGAGACAGCGCTAGCTGGTCCGCTTACTCTGATGAGCCAGCCATTCGCCCAACTCCACGTTCTTGGGGCAGGCACACAACGTCAAGAAGTTGCCCTTCACATTCAAGGGCGCATATTTCTCTTGGAAAAAGTACTTGGGAGCATCGGGGTCGTAGGCGGAAGAGGTGTCGACCGAGAAGCTCGAAGTGAGAGACGGGGAGTTGGGCACATGGCCGGCGGGAGGGCCCTGAGGCGTCGGGGACGGAGCAGGACTTCCATTGTTCATCTTCGGGGCGTTGTTGTTGTTGTTGTTTTTGTTATTGCCTCCTCTGCCAAAGCCTTGGCGACTAAACACCATATCAAATCGTGGGTTAGTGTCCACTGCTTCAACTATTCAAGTGGAATAATAGGAAGAAAAAGAAAACCCGAGGAATATGGAATCAAAAGAGGAAGCGCATGGCGTGGCCTCTTGATAAGCAAGCCAGGGGCGTAATCATTTCGAATGCCTCTGACCATGCTGCGGCAAAGGGAATTTCAGGGGAGAGTGACCGTGCGGGATACATTCTTAGGGGAAGAGGGGGACCACTTACACACTCTGGAAGAAGGTCGCCATGATGGAAAGCGGTGTATGCTCGAGAACACGGGGGAAATGATAGAAATGACGGAAGTCTAGAGTGGCAGGCGACGAGTAGAGGCAAGGATGGAAAGAGGAAGAAGAGACGAAAGAGCAGCGACGGCAATCCAGAAGGAAGAATAAATCACGACTGGAGAAACCCAGACAGAGAAGAGAGAGAGAGAGAGACAAGAGAGATGAATGGAGTGAGTGAGTGAGTGAGTGAGTGAGGAAGTTAGTGATTGGGAGGGAGGGGGGCGATTGTTTCAGTTGGTTTGAGTCCCTCATTCGGTCCTCATTCGGTCTGGCCCGTCGAGCTGCCGCCCTCCACTAAGCCTATTTAGGCTCGGACGGGATCATCCAGTTGTTCCGCTTCAATTCAACGGGAGTGCTCCGAGCTGGAACAAGTTACAAGTTACAACGATCAATGATCAATTGACGGAGTCCGGTATTATTCTCCGTCCCTCGAGTGACTCCTCTTTTACACCAGCTCAGGCTCCCAATTTGAATAGCTAACGGAATAGCTTTCCCTTCAAAGACCCGTATTGAAAGTTTTCCAGCCACTCAATTGCAAGATTGCGCTGTACACAAGCTCTGACTTGCCAGTGCTCTTCTCACGCGGCAACTGGTAGCCGACCCCGGAACCTGGTACAACACACTTGATTCCTACACATCACACCAATATGTCCTCTTCAGATGAGGATGTTGTCCGTCGTCCCGGGCGAGGTGCAGCAGCCGATCGACCGGGAAGCCCGTCGGGAAGCGAGCTCGGCTCAGATGCGGGCAATGTGAACAATTACAACGACGCAGATCTGTTCGGCTCAGATGCTTCAGATGGAGGTTTCGGAGATGACAATGAGTATGCGAAAACGCCCGCGCTTGACCGGGCCAGGACATAAACGCTAACACAGCACCAGACAACCCCAACGTACACTCGACGACGAGGAGCTCGACTCGGGAGATGATGTGGACCGTTACGACCGCGCTGGAGAGCGCATGGACTACGAAGACGGGGGCGAAGAACAGTTCCAGGAAACTGTGAACATCATGGATATGACACTGAGTCGCGCGCCGGAACCCTTGACTTCCAACGGCGAGGTATGCAAGATGATTCTACCACGTCACATCCGCAGAAGACTCACTCGCCTGTTTTACTATATAGATTTACACAATGCCCGTCCCCCCTTTCCTCTCGGTGGAAACCGAAGAGTTCAACCCGGAAACCTATGTTGCGCCTCCCTTCACAACCG